GTCCAGAGAATTTTTTAATATAACACCATTCTCCGTCAATTGCTGTAATTATGTAGCGGCTCCGAGCTTTAGACTTGTCACGATCGCAATAAAGGTAGACTAGATCTCCAACTTGGAGTGACAGGTGATGTTGGGTCTTGTTGCTTTTCCATTTGGATAGAGCGCTGGAAGAGTGGTTGGTTTCTTGAAGGGTTTGTTTGGATGTAATGGTATGGAGATCGCAAACAGGAATTTGTTCGTTGGTGTACTGACTTCGCTGAGTCCACAATTCACGTGCTGACAGTCCGGTGAATCTGATCCGTGAGTTTAGTCTGGCGACTGCTATTGTCAGCTTAAGTTCTGTCACAGGGCCTCCTCCTGGCTCCTGTCGTAGTATTTCTTCCTCCAACTCTTCTATGGCTTTTTCAGCTACAGGGTTTTTGTTCTGATTTTTAACTCTACCTATTTCTATAGAGATGCGGTATTTTATTAAAGTATCATCATCCTGAAGGGCCACGAATCCAGGAGCAGGATCTACTCGAATAACAGCCGGAGGACCATCTAAAGGGCGTAACTCAAGGGCAAGACGGAGAATACCTTCCCGTAATGTATCTCGTTTCTCATCATTGATAAGGCATGCAACAGTGTATGATGTCACACATTCTCTCAATAGAAGGATGAGCTGACGGTTACGCTTAAGAACATCAGCAGCGAACTTTATGCCGAGTGCTTCAGTTGGTTCTTCAGAGGACTGAGGAACAAGTTGATCAGGAAACTTTTTCAGGGAGGCACAAACATGGCATGACTCGCAGACGTTTTCAATGGCCTTTGCCAGGTCAAGGGCATAAAAATGTCGTTTCATGACAAGATTCATCTGATTACGGGTAGGGTGATCAAGTGTGACATGTAGTGCAGTCAGTAATCCCTCTAACACAGTTCTTGGCACAATGATCAATTCTGTAGTAGGTTGAAATGGGTTAGGACGACGTACAACTAAAAGACCATCTCTAGCGATGCTGGCAACACTAAGGTAACGTTTGACATCTCTAATGTTGGTTAGTTTTCTAGATGGACGGGTTCCTTGTTTAAGGTGTGCATGTGTTCTTCGCAGATCAGCACACTCTGACTGAATGGAGAGCCAAGCTGAGCGTGTTGTGAAAGGTAGGTTGACTTTGCTGTTAAGTACATCTTGTAAGCAAACAGACCGTACAACAGAGTCTTCTGTTTGAGCAATGAAACTGCAGATCTGGCACCTAGGTTCAGAACACTCTGGAGCATTGCGACTTGCAAAATCTGAGGGGACATTTGCTGACCCAGCAAGGTGTTGGATGGAAGTGCGATACGACTAGCTACAGACAGAAAAGATGTGACTCTTGGACTTGACGAGAACTCGCCCCGGCGAAGTTTTTCAAAGGCTTCTACGCACGGTTTGCTATCGGTGAGTACATGAGTCTGTTTTGTTGATTGGATTAAGAAGGGACTGAAGTGTTTAATAGCCGCGGCAATACACAAAGCTTCAATCTCACAAGGAAGCCATGTTACCTGATGCTTTCTCAATTTTGCACTAAAGAATCCTGCGAGATTCAGTTTTCCATCGCGCATAGCATACATAGTGGCGCCTAGTCCTCTCTTACTCACTGAGCCATCAGTAACAACCCACAGTTCATCAGATGGTATAGGTAAGATAATGGTCTTGTTTGAGGACAGTTTCTCCTGAGCATTGGTAAAATGTTCCCGCAATTCATCAGTCCACGGCACTTTGTCTTTTGACTGCATTCCTCCTATTGAGTTCTCCAGTGGAGTAAGAATGTCTGAACAATTTGGAATCACCCGACCAAGAACTTTGTATGCTCTGAGAAAAGATCTAAGGGCTTTTACAGTTTCAGGAACACTACATGAAGATAAAGTGGACACCTTGTGTTTGCTGGCAGATATCTTTCCTTCTGTCCAGTTCCATCCAGGTATTGTGGTTGAGCGAGGGCATACTATGGTTTTTGTTGGAGACAAATGAAGTCCACTTTGTGCAAGGGACTTGAGTACACATTCCCAATTATGAAGTAATTCTTCCACTGTTTGTCCTCCACAATATAGGTCATCTGCTAGTTTTGCTACACAGCCCTCTTGTAAACTGTCACCAAGTACTCTGCACATGAGTTCTTCCAGAGCTGTTTCAGATCCAGGCATGCCCATTGCGCATCTGGTATACACACGTATTCCTCGATAGGGTGTTACAATTCCACAGTACTTTAAGGATGGTCTTGAAAGGGGAATCTGGTAGAATGCACTTGTCAAGTCAGAGACAATAATGTATTTCCATCGACCAATAGTGCGAAGTGTTGAATCGACATCTGGCATGAGCGACGGCTGTGGCTTACTGTAGCGTCCCACATCTTCAAAGGCTGTGACAAGTCTGTAGCCTCCGTTAGGTTTTTTGACAAGGAAGGAGGGGTTAAGGTATTCAACAGATATATTCACTTCTTCAGGTTTTCTAAGTACACCCAAGGATTCGAGTTCATCGCACTTTTGTTGCAATTCTTGTAATTTGTCTCTGGAATATTGTGGCAGCCTTCCTTTTCGTTGTGGGGGTTGGACAGGTCCCATGTTGATATGACACTCAAACTTGCCAGCCGCTCCGTTGTACCCTTTAAAATTAGGATCAAATACAGAGTCATAATTCTGAAGTAGCTTGTTAAATTTATGGCGATCAGTTGTTGTCAGAATGTTGTCCGGATCTACACTGACAGTATCTGAATTGAAATTTGATGATCCTGATGATCTGGAGGTGATGGGTATGGGATCTGTTGTAGACATGTAGTTTGTACGCTCATCCAAATCTGTGAACTCTGTAGAAGTATGGTGAAGTTGGCACAAGTGGTCGTTTTTGAGGATTAAGTGGGGTTCATTAGTGTCATTCAAGAGTCGAATTCTACCCCCTACAGCTTCGACTAAAGTTGGTTTAGGCCAGTTCAAGAGTGTGTTATGATGTACTCGTGGTTCCATTGAAAGAGTGGATTCGGGGTGTAGAGCATCAGGAATCTTGAGTTCTAGGTATGTTCCAGGCCAAACAACTGTTGTTTTTGGTTCTGCCCTAAGAATGAAGGCTTGAGCACGGCGTACATGACGGGGAGTTGTAGGACCGTCATCAGGTAGGTAATGAATAACAGTAGAATCCCTAATGGTTACTTGGTTTTTGGAGGGGCGTATGCCAATGTCATTGCACTTCATAAATGGCATCCCTGCCAAAATGTCGACATCTAATTCGTTGACAACTAGGGCATCAAGGTGAAGTATTTCACTGTCGCGTGATAGGGTTAAGTGTACTTCCCCAACACTGTCGAGTGGTGTCAAACCATCAGCTTGGAGAGCATTTTGTGATGTTCTTTTAATAGGAGCTCCAATAAACTCTGCAAATGCTGTCTTTATCATGCTTATTTCTGCACCAGAGTCAATAGTTAAATACACAGGATGATGCTCATAAAATACTTTGATTTGAGCTGATTTTGTAGTGCTAACACGGCGGGTTGAGGGTGTAAATGACTGATCACCATCGTCGAATATGAGATGCTCATGAATGTCATCTGGGGGCTCTTCATTGTCGGAGTCGTCTGCTTCCACCAGTCGTCTTGACTTGGTCATAAACCGTTTATCTCCCTCCGGCAGAAATTTGCATGTACTGAGAAAGTGGTCAAAACTGACCCGTCCTGCCTGTTTACATAATGGACACTCTCGTTTTACTGTTGGAGTGAGGGACTTCTTATTTGAAGTTTTTGTCTGTTTGATAAAGGCAGTGCGTAGGACTTTGGAGTCATGAGATGCATGAATTTCATCGAGTAAGGTATCAAGAGCTTGTGAAATTTCTGGTTTAATGGAAGCCAAAGTTTTGGAACGTAGTTCTGTGCCATATCGTTGCTTGACTAATGCAGGGAGGTCCTTATGTATAAGTCTCAACCAGGTGAGTATTACAAGATTCTCAAGTGTTGGAGAAAGTTCCTCATCTGCTTCCGGTATGTCACCATGGTGGCTGATGTTTCCATTAGGAGTAAGTGGATTGTCTTCAACAAAACTCATAAGGCGTTGATATAGATCCTCTGGTCTCTCTCCTGCCTCCAAATGAATGTTGTCGAAGTCCAAAAAGTGACTTCCGGTTGATTGGAATCCATAATGTTGTCTGATTGATTGCCATATTGCATTGACAAAAGTGGAGTTTTTCACAATAGTGTTTCTGGATACCACAGGGCAAAAGTTAGCTATCTGACCCAGCATCAGTTCAAGGTGAGTAACTTTCTGTGCTGCTGTGCGTTTGGCATTCTCAGCTACGTTTTCATCGTCATCTTCAAATCCTCTCAGGGGAGTTCCGGGTGTCTTTTTAAGCCAAGGGAACCCATTGACGAGGAACGGCGCAAAATTCGTATCTAGTGAAAGTGTATATTGGAGATTTTGGCGCCAAGCTTCGAACGAAGTAATAGTTTCATTCTTTGTTAATGGCCATTGTTTCGGTGCACGTGTTGTAGCCATGTCAATAGTTTCAGATGAGTTATGTGACGTTTGAGGTTTCTGATATGCACAGTTCGGGAATAACTGAGTTGTTTGTATGCACTTTTGCTTTGGCAATTGTGTTTACTCACATTCGCATGAATTAAAATTGTTGTCCGCTCTTCGGGATGTGGAATAACGTATACCGCTGCCACCACGCCAATATGGAAAACACCAAAAGCCGTACAAACAAATCAAAACCTTTATCTAGTTGGTTACAACGTGTGGATGAACTCAATACACAGAGAAAAACAGTTCGTACACAAATTCAACATTTTAGATAAATCGTTCCTAAATGATTCGTGATACAACACAACATAACATAATGGCGCCATGATGATGTGAATTCTACTTCATATAATTGTTTACCTATAAGGAAACTCACTGGGTCATTCAATAAATCCCCCCCCTCACTTGCCATCTACTGCGCCCTCCCTTTACGAAATTCCTTGATCCGCCACTGAAGTTCTACATCGTAAATTGTTTACCTATGAGGAGAACCTGTCCGCGTCCGTGGACCGTGACGATGAAATCATGCGTGACATCCCTAATCGTATACAAGTCTTTTGTTTTCCCTGCATCTGTCATTTTACCAACATTTCCTTCGTCTCGCTTCTCATTTTCCTCAAATCACTCACATGTTTGAAATTTCCCTTCTTTTGCTGAAAAGCTACTTTCATTTTCGTTGGCGGGAAATTTTCGAAATTTTAAAAACATAGGTCAATTCAGAAAATTTGCTTAAACTTACATTTTATCAAAAATATCTACTCTCTATTTATAAATTATCAAGGTTGCCAACTTCGTCTGCAAACCGAGAGGCACTGCCGAGAATTTTGGTTGAATTGTCCCATAAATCTAAACAAAGCCCTATAAAATCAACAACTCATATTGTAGATTGAATATTCTTTTCATTAACCACAAACTCTCATGAAGGTTAATGTACTTTAACAGTCGTTATTGTAACGTGGTTGAGCCAGGTTGTCTCCAAATAACACTCAAGATAGTTCCAATTAAAGAAATTTATTTACAAAAAACAATGAAAGCAAAATATATTTACATAATCACACTAACATTCACACGCACTTGCACACCTCTCTTTCACATATACTTATAAGAAAAAAAAATCAATAAACCTTATAACTTGACAGACAGACAGACTAAATGTTTTCTTTATAAAATTATATCTAATTATGATTTATATTGTTGCCCTGTAATGTTCACTTGCACAGTTCTGTTATCTAGGTTTGCCACAATCACGAGCTCTATAAGTTCTAGTTCCTTTCAGATCGACTTATCTGACTCTAAACACCAAAAGTTTCAGCTTAGGTACATCAATCGTCCGATCGCTTCTGGGGCTGTAGTCCCGGATCTTGTGGAAAGGCGATGATAACCCTCAGAAAGCTTGACTGTATTGTCCCATCTGGATCGTAAGCTCACTCAGCTACGTCCTCGTACTTCACCAACGTCATAACGCTACAATTTACAGGACTCATAAGTTTTCTAATATGGCAACATATTATAATGGCAACACTTAATGATGAAATATTTAGATAAAGTATAAATGAAATATGTCTGTCTAAATAGTTCAACAAGTCATGATAAAAAGCATACATTGTATTGTGATTTCAAAACAATATGGCGACCACTTCCGGCTGTCACTTCCGCCCAATACATTTAAAGAATTCGCCAAAAAAAATATCGAGCACAAAAATACACCTAAAGAAACACTCAAAAGTGATACAAATAAAGTCATACAATATTCTATCGACAGTAAAAAAAACTGGGTATTTAAACTCTCGCTACCGATACACTTGACTGCTCACACAGGTAAGTTAGACAAGTGAATGTAAGCCAAGGTTATATTTAGGTCACTCGATAAACAAGAATACTTACAAAATACACTCTAAGAATGAATTCAAAAACACAAAATATACATACCACGGTCTGCTCTTCCGTGCCTTTGTTAATAGTTAGGTTCTGTACATTGCATACTGCAAAATATACTGCCCCAGCAGTAAACTCGACTGCCCTCTAATATATGTGTTACTCACACGGCAGCTCACCCGGGAATGTCCCAGCCAATTTAAATCACGTGACTTTTGCAACGACAAAGAACTATGGGAAATCATTGTTACAGGCCGCAAAGCTAACCTGATACACAAGTGATTGTCACAGTTATGACTAAGTTTTCGAAAGGATGTCATGCAACAGTCAGCGTTTTTGCTTAGTGAACGGAAGTGACGAGGAGACGACTTTTTACCAAAATACACAGTTCTGCAGAAAGACTGAGACACTGTTTTGAAGTCAACTTTTGAAGAAGCTTGGTTGATATACACTTTAAAAAATGTCTTTCAAATGTATTGGGAGAATAGAGTTCAAAACCGCTGATGCAAATGAAATGTCTTTAATTATTTTTCAAATACCTGATTTGCATGTGCGAGTTATACCCTTTTAAAAATGCAATTTATAAAAACATCTTTTTTTCCTTAAATATTTGTGTAAATCTATAAAACGTTTGAAAATAAAATTTTGATGAAGAATTCGTACAAAAAAAAAAAACAAAAATATTTCTATTGTTGATATTTTACACGCATATTTGGGTATATGGAAAACATTGGAAATTAGTCCTCTTCTCATTACTTCCGTTCAATAAGCTTTTTACGGAGTTGATTTTTATATAGAGAATGTAGGGTAGATTTCATAGAACACTTGTTTTAGGCAATTTTGCGATTTGCTGGTATAGATCTTATCACAAATATGGCAATGAAAGATTTTTTATGAGAAAATAATCGAAAAAGCCCAGGGGTCTATATCGAAGGGTGGGGGGGGGGGGGGGTCCTGTCCTCAAGCACCTGTGATTTAGACGACAGACAGATAGTTTTATTCACAACAATGATATGAGCTATGCATCTGATTTTTTGGAATATATATACCGCGATACAATGGAACCCGCGATACAATGAGAATCGAGTATACATAAACTCTAGAGTTTATGTACATAAATTAGGTGTGGTAGGTCTTTTTTAAACGTGGTTCTTTCTTGCCTGAAACACAGGTGCTTGAGGACAGGACCCCCCTTAATATAGACCCCCGGGCCTGTTAGACTTTTTTCACATAAATTATATATGGATGACACATTTGTGATATAATCTATCCTATCAATTCAGAAAATTTGCTTAAACTAACATTTTATAAAAATGTCTACCCTCTCTATATATAATTTTTATATAGAGAATGTAGGGTAGATTTAATAGAACGTTTGTTTGAGGCAATTTTTCGATTTGCTGGTATAGATCATATCACAAATATGGCAATGATAGATTTTTAATGAGAAAAAAATCGAAAAAGCCCAGGGGTCTATATCGAAGGGGGGGGGGGGGGTCTTGTCCTCAAGCACCTGTGGTCTGAAAGTGTCAGGATCTTTATTTTAACAACTTTTAAGTGAATTTAAAGAAGATTCAAACTTTTTAAAATTTATTTTACATTTAACAATCCGGAAGACAAGCTCCTATGTACAATATCTGCATGTATTATGATTGATTGAACGATAATTATTGTTTTAAGCCGAGTAAGCAATATGTCCTCCATATACAAATATTCCCCATTTTCAAAAGTGAGTTATCTCCCCTCGAAATCGGAACTCTTCTACACTAGCATAACTTCCGCGGACTACGGCAGAAGGATAAAACGTACGCTCAACTAGGACCTGGGGTCCCCCGGAAATAGTTCTTCATTTTGCGTAGTAATAAAACATTCTAGGAACTCTCCAGTCATTAAAGGCACAAAAGTATATTCATCGATATCAATACGGAGACCTCAGGTCACCTTATATATTAATTGAATTTTAAATGATAGACATTTTTCTTTGTTTTACTCCAAAATAATCATATTGATAACTTTATAAAGATCAACTTTCTAATATCTATATTAGCAGAAACGTGAAAGTAATAAAGGGTGACCAGAGGTACCTCATATTGTACATCAATCGGGGGACCAAAGATCACCTTACATTTAACATCTTTAGGGAGACCTTATATTGTACATCATCAGAGGGATCATAGGTACCTTACATTTTAAATCAATAGGGGTCCAAAGGTAATCTTTTATTGCGCATAATAGGGAGGACCTGGGGATACTTTATATCATACATCATTTGGGGGACCAGAGGTCACCCTATATTGTACATCAGTAGGGGGACTACAGGTAACCTAATATTGTACTGTACATCAGTAGAGGGACCAGAGGACACCTAATATTGTACATCAGAAGGGAGACCAGAGGGCACCTTATATAGTGCATCAGTGGGGGGTGGGGGGGGGGCAGAGGACACCTTATAGTATACATCTGTAGAGGGACCAGAGGACACCTTATATTGTACATAAGTAGGGGGACCAGAGGACACCTTATATTGTACCTCAGTAGGGGGACCAGAGGACACCTTATATTGTACATCAGTACGGGGACCAGAGGTCAACCGATATTTTACATTAGCACGGGGACTAGTGGTCACCTAATATTGTACTGTACATCAGTAGAGAGACCAGAAGTCACCTTATAATGTACATCAGTAGGGGGACCAGAGGACACCTTATATTGTACACCAATAAGGGGACCAGAGGACACCTTATACTATACATCTGTAGGGGACCAGAGGACACTTTATATTGTATATTAGTAGGGGGACCAGAGGTCACCTTAGATTGTACATCAGTAGGAGGAACAGAGTTCACCTTTTATTAAACATCAGTAGGGGGACCAGAGGTCACTTTATATTGTACATAAGTAGGGAGAACAGAGGTAACCTTATATTAAACATTAGAAGGATGACCAGAGGTCACATATGTACATCCGCAGGGGTGCCTAGGGTCACCTTATATTGTACATCAGTAGGATGATCAAAGGTCACCGTATATTGTGCATCAGTAGGGGGACCAGAGGACACCTTTTATTGTTCATTAGTAAGGTGGACCAGAGGTCACCTTATATCTAACATCAGAACGGGGACCAGAGGTCATCTTATATTGTACATCAGTACTTAGAGGGACCAGAAGCCACTTTATATTGTATATCAGAAGGGGGACCAGGGGTCACCATATATTTAAAATCAGAAGGGGAACCAGAGGTCATCGTTCTATATTACAACAGGTTCATCAAAAGGGGGACCAGAGGTCACCTTATATTTAATACGAGAAGGGTGACTAGAGGTCACCTCATATTGTACATCAGTAAGGGGATGAGAGGTCACTTTATATTGATCATCAGCAGGGGTACCAGGGGTCACCTTATATTGTACATCAGCAGGGGGACCAGAGGTCACCTTACATTGTACATTAGAAGGGGACCAGAGGACATCTTATATTGTACATCAGTAGGGGGACCTGAGGTCACTTTTTATTTTATATCAGTAGGGGGACCAGAGGTCACCTTTAATTGAACATCAGAAGGGGGTCCAGAAGTCACCTTATATTGCACATCAGTAAGGTGATCAGAGGTATCTTTATATTGTTCATCAGCAGGGGGACCAGGGGTCACCTTATATTGTGAATCAGTAGGACCAGAGGTCACCTTATATTGTACATCAGTAGGGGACCAGATGTCACCATATATTGCACATCAGTAAGGAGA